ATGTAATGCTGAGACAACCTATGATTGACCAGTTGGCTATGGTTAGTACAACCAAACCTAAGCCGAATGGAGATAGGGGGAGTAGTGAGACTAGAAGGGAAGATAAGAAGGACTTGGTGTGTGATTATTGTAAGAAGCCTAAGCATACCAAGGACACTTGTTGGAAGCTTCATCCAAATCTTATGCCTGCCTGAATAAGGAATAAGAAGGGAAATGCAAATGTTGCCACTACAGGAGACTTTTCGGCCCCTCTTTCCCAAACTGATTGGGAATCCATTGCAGTAGCAGCAGTAAGGACAAAATTGGAGAGGTTTGGACAGCTTATGAGTAAGAAAGATTCACCTAGCTCTGGCCTTTCAGATGGACAGCAGAATGCAGGAGCCAACTACACTTCTTTTGCACATACAGGTAGTTCATATGCAATTGCAAATCTTGCATCCACTTCAGGTAAGGAGGGATCTTCCTGGATTATAGACTCAGGAGCATCTGAGCACATGACTAATGCCCCTACCCTTTTCAGTTCCTATCAATTGTACTCTGGTAGAGGCAGAGTCTCTACAACAGATGGTTCACATGTTCCCATTGCTGGGAAGGGGATAGTTAGAGTGACCAATGATATAATTTTATCTTCTGTTTTACATGTCCCTAGACTTTATACCAACCTACTTTCTGCTAGTTCTTTAACAAAAGATTTGAATTGTTCCGTGACCTTTCTTCCTGGTAATTGTGCTTTGCAGGATCTGGAGTTAAAGAAGATGATTGGGAGTGGTTGTGAGGTGAATGGAGTCTACCTTCTAGATGAGATTTCGAGACATTAGGGCCATCATGTTAGCAACAACAGTAGTAGTGGGTCAGAGTCAGTGAACCAGATTATGCTTTGGCACAATCACTTGGGACATCTTTCTTTTAGTTCTTTGAAATTTCTTTTCCCAAAGTTGTTTGAGTCTGTTCAGTTATCTACCTTAGAGTGTGAGAGTTGTCAGTTAGGAAAGCATTGTAGACAGTCTTTTAAACCAARTAATAAAARAAGTAYTTYTGCTTTTRATATKGTTCACACTGATGTATGGGGGCCATATCATATCCCTTCCATGGGAGGATACCGTTACTTTCTCTTGTTTATGGATGATTATACACAATATTCTTGGATATATTTGATGAGATCACGAGATGAGGTTCCTAACTTGGTACGATAGTTCCACCAGATGGTTCTCACACAATTTGGGGTGAGAACTAAGGCTTTTAGATTAAATAATGCCAGAGAGTACTTTGAGAAGGACCTGACCACGTATTTTTAGAACATGGTGTAATTCATCAGAGTAGTTGTGCATATACACCGCAACAGAATGGAATAGCTGAGAGGAAAAACAGACACATTGTGGAGGTGACAAGGAGTCTTATGGTGAGTGCTTTAGTTCTTGTGCATTTCTTGGGAGATGCAGTCCTTATAGCCGTGCATTTGATTAACCGTGTTCCTTCACGAACTTTGGGGTTTAAGGTGCCATTTAATCTTCTTTTTCCAGATGAGGATATATTTCACATATCTCTGAGGGTTTTTGGCTGTGTTTCCTTTTTTCACATTTTTGGCCCCCATCGCAAGAAATTGGATCCTAAGGTCAAGAAATGTGTTTTTCTTGGGTATGCTCAGAACCAAAAGGGGTATTGCTGTTATGACCCAGTGTCGAGGAGCAGATTTGTCACTATGGATGTTAACTTTTTTGAATCCACCTTCTTCTTCTCGAGTGGTTCCCCTCAGGGGGAGAGTCTTGGGGAGAACTTACAATCTGTTCCTCTTCCTGTTTCTTTGGTGCCTACATCAGTTCCATCATCTATTCAGCCAACACCTCCATCATCAGTTTAGCCAGCACCTCCATCAGTTCAATCAGTTTCATTACTTGAGCCACTACGGATAGCGCCACAGAAATATCAGTGCCGGCAGACGATGGTTGGCTTCACACATCCTCAACCCACACCACTCTCTATCAGTCCTTCTGAAACTCCAGATTCAACAGATGCAGTTCCAGGTATTCCTCTTGAGCCTGAGCCTGTTATGTTTTCTAATGATAATGTTCCTGTACCTAACACCATTGTTTCAGCTGATCCCACTAATCTTGATCTTTTCATTGCACTTCGTAAAGGGAAGAGAAAGTGTACAGCCCATTGCATTTCGCACCATCTTTCCTACAATGCCTTGTCACCCTCCTACCGTGCTTTCCTTTCTTCTCTGGATTCTGTGTCTTTACCCAGGAATGTTACTGAGGCCCTCTCCAAACCTGAGTGGAAAACAACC